GAACTCTACGCTGAATAGCAAAAGACTCAAGAATTAAATAAAATCAATCATCTGACATGAAATCTACTGATCCTATCTGTTCAATTTTGAATTTCAAAATAAGGTAAACTTTCTAGGAATGAGACGGTTGCTTCATGTTTAAACCTTTTATCATCCAACATGCTCAAACCCACTCCATAAATATCAGTTCTCAAAATCTGACATTTTGGGTGACTTTCATTGTTATTTTCAATGATTTTGACATATATTATATCAGAGTATACATGGGGCAAGATATGACAGGTTGAACATTGAGAGCCGATATTTACAGGGCAGATTTGTGCATATTGAACAGTAAATGGTTAATACAATCTGGTCAGATTCCCTAGAAAAGAAGGTAGCAGATCTGATAAATTCAATGCTGTGAAATCTGATAAAGTCAAATTCATCAACTTTTAATTTGTATCAAAACATTCTGAAATTATTTAAATGACTGAAAAAATGAAAATGTATTGAATTTAGTCCTCTGTGTCTCTCTCATTACATATTTACACAGGGGAGATTTTTGATGTCTGGTGTTAAAGGTTATAAACTTAGGTTAGAGGTTTTAAACTTTTAGTAGTAGATGATAAATCTTACATGTTTATTAGGATCATTGAGTTATAGTGATTTTCCAAGCTTAGGTTAGATGTGGCACAAGGTCGAAAGTAGGGGTCACAGTGAGGATCGAACTCACTATGCAGTAGTAATTGTTCTAGTGAGACAAGCTTGCTAACCATTACACCACCTTGAGGTGCCCAGAATCATTGAATATATGTCTCAGTGAATTATGTTTTTTATTGCTTTTTCATCCTGTTTATAATTAAGATGCACTGATACATATCACTCAATGATCCTAGCAAACACCCAAGATTTATCATCAAATAAAAAAGTTTAAAACATCTAATTGATATATATATATATATATATATATATATATATATATATAAGCAAATATATGGATATAAATCCGACAGTATGAAAAGAAAAATACAGAAAAAAACAAAATTCTGAATATGCATTATTAATGTTAAAATAAAGAGTCGACGTTTGGACGTTTCGGTCTATTTAAGACCATCTTCATGGACATTTTCATTTAAACATAATTAACATTATAACTTATAACAATTTAACACAAAAGACGATGGACATAAGAGCCCAACTAATTCAGACAGATAACTGAAATTTTATACATTGTAACGGGAAGGACTTTCAAGCTTGTTGAAGATATAAGAACCAATTGATCACTACGTATTCCAACATCAACGGAAGAGATTTCTTTAACTGTTTATAAAAATTTTTCAATCGACTTTTTGATATTTTAATTTTTGGAAATCATCTTCGAATACATCTTAACAACATCGCCCACGTGACGACTACGTGATCATATTTAAACAGAACGCTGATCTGTATAAAATTTCAGTTATCTGTCTGAATTAGTTGGGCTCTTATGTCCATTGTCTTTTGTGTTAAATTGTTATAAGTTATAATGTTAATTATGTTTAAATGAAAATGTCCATGAAGATGGTCTTAAATAGACCGAAACGTCCGACGTCGACTTTATTTTAACATTAATAATGCATATTCAGAATTTTGTTTTTTTCTGTATTTTTCTTTCATATATATATATATATATATATAATTATTTATTTAAAAATTATAACATAAATATGTTATAAAAACACTACAAAAATAGCCATTTTGTTTCAACACCTCTGGTGTCTTATCAAGTGATGATGTTGAATGTAGATTGTAGAATAAAGGTTTTAAAAGGTTCAAATCAACTAACCACCCCTCGTAAGGGGAAACACTGTTACATGAGCTGAAATGACCCATCAAAAAACAAGTATACAAGAATTAAAAAAACTTGACAACGAAGCAAGGTTATAGTAACTATTAAATATTAGTTAGGTTTATACTAAAATAGAATTTATTCTAACTAATAAGTATTAAATTGTATGATAAAATTTGAAATTAAAATTAAAAACTACCCATTTTAATTTTAAAAACTTTCTCATATATATATATATATATATATATATAAGGACAGGGATGTATTTTTTAATTTTTGAACATGGTCATTGTGTAAAGACAAGCTGAATCAATAGACTCCTGAAAAAAAACATTGGCTACAACTGACAAAATGCCAATATAATACCAACAGAGATGAGGATATTCATCTGAATGTAAAAAATGTGTTAGTCTTGCTTTTCAAAAGTATCAGTTTGTAACTCTCAAAGTCTACAATGGATTTATTTTAAGTGGAAGGTTTTATTTAAACTAGAATTTTTTTGCAGCACACTAACTCATGTTGAATTCCTAACAGTCGTTAGGATTGTTGGTTAAATTGTTTTTAAAATAGTGGGAGTATTTTGTCAGTTAAATAATAAAAGTTTTAATTATTCAAAAGCATAAATGAAAATTTATTGTACTAAGCTATGTAACCTATTAAAACCAATTGTACTTTGTACCCCCTTACCTGTTTGCACTTCTCCCAAAAATTTGGTTTTGATCGGTCAGTGTTTGGCTATTTTAGAGGATGGACTAACAGAAGTCACAGAATTTTATATATAAATTTCATCATTCCACATTTATTGTAGTCAATTATGCTGCAATGAAAGTGTTAAACACTAGTTTGAAATGAAGTTAAATAAACAAATGAGACCCCATATTAACTGCAGACCTTAAGCATCAGATGTTTATATATTTCTGAAAATCAAGAATAACTTAAACTGCCAAGCAGCTTTTAAAAAAATCAAAAACATTTTTGGTGAAATCTGGAATAAATCAACTTGAAAAACACCTGCCAAAGTATTTTTATCGTGAATCAAAAAGACATTTAAATATTTAATGTTTTTTTTCTAGTCATTTCAATGTTTGATTCAAAAGAAGAAAAAAAATACATACTTCATGCTTTTCTTTTTTATTTATCAATGTTAAAGCCAAAAAACATTGAGGTGAACACTTATAATTCAATTTGATGTGAGATTAAGAAAGAAAAGAAAAGAAAGGAAGGGGATAAAACAGAAAATAGTGAAAGAAAGTAAAGAAAAAAAAGTAAAGATAACTTGTAAGTAAAGAATAAAGAGAAAAAACAGTAATGAGAGGATTAAAGCTGGGAGGAGAAAGACGTTAAAACTAAGGTTGGGTACATGGAATTGAAGATTTTCAGAGGAATTTTTTTTTTAAACCTTGATTTCTCCAAGTATTCAAGAAGAAAATTTTTAATAACATTTTTTTCCTAATATAAAATTTCAGTTCAACTTAATAGAGAAAAAAGTACAAAAAGGACAGAAATTACTTTTGTCTTCAAGATGGACAAAGTACTTCATGTTTTCATTCTCATTTTTGTTTTGTTTTTCTTCTCTTCTCCAAGAAAGTTAAATAATTTGGCAAACTTTCAGGAAGATAAGAGATGGGCAAAAAATTAAAATATAAAATACAGAATCAGATCCTTGAAATTATTTTTTTTTTTATCTACAATTGATTTAAATCCAATAAGATTTCTCTATTCAATCTGGAAATGATAGTCCCTCTGTTCCACATTTTATTTACACTTTCTTTTTTTTTTGCTCTTATTTTACAGATCCTGTCTCCATCCAACGCATATTTCATGCCCTCATCATCTTAACTTTTGCCTCTTTTTTTACGATACTTCTCTTTTTCCCTTCAATTTTCCTTACCTTTCCCTCTCTTTATCTCTCATTTATATTTTAAGCTTTTCTCCTTTGTTCTTTGAATATTGTCATAGATCCTCTCTTTCTTTGACTTTACTCATTCCCTCCTTTATCTCTCATTCTCTTCTACCTACTAAGAATTTTTATTCTGTTAATTCCTGTCCACATCTGTCTTACTTTTCAAGCAACCAAAGTGCAAAATATTTCACAATTTTTTTTGAATAGTTAATAACACATACATATATTTATTAATCATCAAAATATTGAGTTGGCCAGAAAGTCTTGACTTCTTTAGGAGCAGAAAGAAAACAAAAAAATCCATCATTCTTAACAATCTTGTGTCAGCCATCAGCCAGTATATAAATCTGTCCCTAATGCCATTCCACTGGCTTTAAATCAAAAAACTGTAAAATAGCTTCCTTCACTTCATCAAAAGTGTTGAATCACTGGTCATGGAGGAAGTGTGCCATTGAGTGAAATAGGCAATAGCCTCTCAGAGTAGCATCAGGACTAAATGGTGGCAGTGGAAGAATCTCAACACCATCCATCTGTGTGAAGTTGGCAGTGTGTGGCCTCGTATTGTCTTACTGAAACAAGGCCCAACCTCAATTGGTACTGCTTCTTTAGTTTGTCATACACACAGCCTAGCTGCTGGCAATACAATTTAGTGTTGATGGTATGACCATGTGGAACAAGCATGGAATGCAGTACTCTTTGGAAATTCCATCAGACAGAGATCAAGATTTGTTGTTTTCTTTCTGCTTCCTAAGTAAGTCGGAACTTTCCGGCCAACCTAGTATTTATCTTTATATTCTCTGACCTTTACGGATGTTTTAAAAGTTTTCAGATGACTGACTTTAACATAATGTCATCAATGAAATTTGAACACTGAAAGTGTCTGTAAATTTTTTGACCAGATAAGGTATGAGGCATTAATTGAAATACATGAAAATTTGATGGTGCCAAGTCTGGTAGTATGTCAGATAAAGAAGAATATCTCATTTCAAGTCCATTACCCTTTCTTTGAGTCAAAAAATAATGTGGATTGGTTGATTTTTTTTTACAGCTTATCAACCTTTTGCAGGTTATTTAAAGTCAGAAAATATTTTTAGATTGTAAGAATTTTTGGAAATAATAATTTGCTGATACAAGTTCTACTAATTAACCCATAGCTGGGGGAAGGAGAGGTGGATTTATACTTTTCCCAAGGGTATTTGTGCATAGGTAAATATAATGAACCCAACTGAAATTGGAACTTGGCTCTCCAATTTCCAATTCAAAACCATTATACCATTTGCACATCTAAGCTATTCCCAGGCAGTCACCCATCTAGGTACTGACCAGGCTCAATGTTGCTTAACTTCAGTGATCGTATGAGAATATGTTTCAACAAAATAACATTTTGTCATGCAGCAGTATAATCTTCTGACTTCCATATCCTCTAATATTGGGATGATTGATATTACATAGAAGTTCCTCACACTTTTCTTTGTTTTTAATGAAATTTTCCTGTCTCTTAATATTTTGCTTAGCTTTTGAAAGGTATCTTTTTCTATTCCAATGCACCTTTGAATTCCTGTATCACATTTTCTATTGACTTTTATAACACATCCCATATAGTTAAAATTCTGTACTTATCAGTCCTCCTATATCATAGTGAATGTTAGGCAATTTCCTCACAGATAAGAGTAGACTTGAAGTAACAGATGTAGTTCCACAGAAGGATACTGAGAATATCATGGACCAAATGTGAGCAATGAAGATGTGTTAAGGAAAATGGAAACAAAAAGGATAATTATGCTTAGAATCAGAAAGAGATAGTTGAAATTTCTAGAGCACATAAGAGAGAAAATGGCTTGACAAATTTTGAGATTCACAAGATATGACATATCCATTCACATATTTTCATAAAAACCAGTTTTTTTCCCAAAATTGGCTAGGTTTTGCTGTTGATACTGCAGTTTGGCCTAAAACACCATGAAGTTTTGTGTTTTGGATTGATATAACTCACTTTTCATATCCAATGATATTCTCCCACAAAAATTTTTTTTTGTCTGCCAAGAAGTAAAATGTAAATGTCAAGATGTAGTCTATTGTTGTTATTTTTACTAACAATTCATGTACAGCACATTGTCCTGCTTTTTTAATCTTCTCCCAAATTTTGAAAACATTTTACAACTGTTCATTGATTGAAAATAAGATTTCTAGCCAATTCCAATATTAAGCAGAGTTATCACCAGAAAGAGTTTGTAAGTCATCACTTCCAAATTATTGTTGTCTAACATTGAAAGGTTTGTCATCCAAGTTAAATTCAACTTTCTTGAACTTCACACACCATTCATGCCACACAGTTTCCAATGGAACTATCTCCAAAGGTTTTATCAATCATCTTTTTTGTTTCTGCAGCTACCTTGCCTAACAAAGGACAACAAAGTATAACATGTATCTTCCCTGCCACCATTTTTATCTCTTTTTTTGTCAATACAGGATAAATGAACACTGAAGAAATAATGCCCAAAACTGATTTTCAACTCTGTATTCAGTGTTTAATTTTCAAGAGGGAACTAGATTATTGACACAATATATTCATTCATTTTTTAGCAATCACTTTGCCAAGACAAAAACAAAAAAACAATACAAATTCTTTCAGAAAAAAGAAAATATTAAAATAAAATCTTTGTTCCAATTTGGAATAATTTATTTTAGATGAGATATGATAAGCATTGTGTTTTACAATAAAATGTAACTCATAATAAAAACCTGTTCATACTTCAGATTTTTGTGAATTCCTCATTAGTGGAATCCATCAACATTTCCATGAGAAAGAAATGCACAAAACTCTTTATTCATTTCTATTTTGGAACAATAGAAAAGCTGTTATCTTGAAGATAAATAGAAAAAAAAAGAAGATATTGTTTCTGAAGAGTCCACTCAATATTAGAAAAAAAAATCACTGTAATAATTTTGTTAAATATTATTATTATCTGTGCTTCTCTGTCACATTTTTTAATTCCTTTTCTTGTCCAAGGAACAATGGTTCTTCCAGCAATTAATCTTTGCTTGGCAGAAACCTGGTTTAATTCAGGAAGATTTTCAATTAATTTCCTCTCTATTTATTTAATCCTCTATACCTTCATTTAAATCAGGCATATCGAACTGAGGGTCCCCTGAGGTCCACATGGTCACATATGTTTTCATGAGGGCCACACACGACAACCAATTGTGCACATTACAATTAATTGGAGTCATTTAATAAAATTTATTGTAGAATATTTTTGTTACTTAAATTTAGAAACACATGATGTGCATACAAATGTTTTAGCATGTAAACAAAGTAATGAAGAAGTTTGATAAAATGAATAAAATTTTAAACAACATACACTTGCAGTAGCAACAAATACATTGTACAAAAATTACAACAGTTCAAGACTTATTTCCTACTATTCAGTCAGTTTTAGTTTTTAGTTCTTTTTGGTAAAATTTTTGGCATGTCTGACTAAAATGTCTGTGCAGATCAACTTTGATCAGAGATGACAAATGTTGATCAGTTATCCTTGTTCTCTGAGAAGTTTTTGTTGATTTCATAAAGGAAAATAACTGTTCACACATATAGGTAGAACCAAACATTGTCATAATCTTTGTGGCAAAATTTCTGAAATTTTTAAACTGTAGTGAAAGAGATAATCAGTTACCCTGAAAAAGTTTGTGTTTTGTGTGCGATCTGCCGAAGAAAAATTACCAAAAAGTAGTTAGCAAAAATCTACATCAATGACTAGAAGCTATGCTAATGTTCTTCCCTCCCTGAATGGCATGACCAATCAGAAAATTCTCTCGGTGAACAGATGCCATTGTTTTTCGCTTATAAAAGGAGAAGATTTTTTTGAGGTTGATGGAACGAACACACGTTTTTGCTGGTGAGAAATGAAGGTTGGACATGTGACCCCATTTTGTCGTTTCTACATTGTTTGTAGGACTATCGTTTGAACTGCGATTTGGCTACAAGTGTTGCAGTCGAGAAACAGAAGAAATCTATTGCAGTTGCTACTATCAGTTGACAGTCTTTTCTTTACTACAACATAAACTTTTCAGGAAGGTATGAAATGAACCCAGGTATTCCTACTTCAAGATACTTTACTGCATTTCTAATAGTTCTATCTGTAGGCTTTCTTTTGTCTAGGCAACATCAAAGGTGAATGGTGCTGAGAATAATGCAAACTGATGTTCAAATATAGGAAATCACTAAATCTTTTCTGAAATTCCATTGACAACATACTTAGCAAAGCTAAGTACAGTCTCAGTATTAGAAGTGTTTTCCAGCTCTTTGCATGTAGGAAAATGAACTAAATTTTCATTTGACAACTGTGAATTCTCTAAGCTTAGTTTTGTAATGAAGCACTATATGTCATCATACAACTGAGTTTGTTTTTACCTTGCATTTTCAAATTGAGATCAGTTAATTGTGTATCCACAGCAAAAGCCAGATCTTGGATCCAATTTTCATCTTTTATTTTTGATTATTCATCTCCAAAAACATATTATTTCTTGTCTCAACAAATAGAATCTTTTCAGCACATCATAACATGACAACCAGCTGACTTCTGTGTATAATAAAACATTGGGGAACTGATTATTCATATCTTCCAACTGTGTCAAGTTAGCCTTCAATTCCTTGAGTTTTGAAATGCACATTGGGCCTTCATATTTTTCATATGATCGATGGATAATTTCATAAAGTCTTTTCAGGTGTTGGCAATGAAGTTGTTGCTTTTATTTTGAAGCAGCCATATACAGGGTGTAATGGGTAAATTGCCGACATTTTATATTTTTAATTTCATGTATGTGCATTGTTTGTTTTTGATTTTGTCAACTGCACAGTATAATACAGTCAGTTGGGAACTGTCTGTGAGAAAAAGAACACCATGATACAATTCACTCTGTCAGAAATTTGGAAACAGCATGCTATACTACTTAGCATTCATGCCAGAAGCTTCAATACAAACATTTTAGAGTGTTTCAATGTCAATCTGAGGACAGTGCAGAAGAGTTGGATGAATTTAATGGTGATTACGAAGGTATGGCAGCTTGGAAAACTCACTCTGATAAGATTATAACTCCCAAATTTGTTGGTGAGATCCTCAGAGTCAACACAGAGGTCTATATCAAGTGACTTGAGTCAAGAGGGCAGCTGCTGGAAAACCCTATGTCTGACAACAGGACTCCACACCATGTTACACAAGCATGGCTGTCAGACAATTTCTGGAACCACATCACCCCTTACATGTGGTCGCCTAACTCTCCAGACTGCAACTCCTTTGATTATTATATGTGGGGTGTAGTTGAGTGAGAAAACAGCAAAATCCCTTGTAACACCAAAGATAAACTGAAGGCAAGTATTCTGGCAGTATTCACTAACTTAAACAAGGAGAATATTCAGAAGAGTTGCAAGTTGTCTGGAGGTTGTGGTTGAATCCACTGGTGATTTTATTGAACACATTTAGTCTTTTGTATTTCAAGATATTTTTGTGTAACTTTGGTAAATATATCTGTTAAAATGAGATGTTAGTGCTATTTTCATTTCTGCATAATTTAGATGACAATTTATCCATCACAACCCTGTATATGTATACTGTGACAATATATATTTCACTGCCCTAAATAAATAACATCAAAAAGTTACCATTCTGACAAACTGACAATGATGAGAGTCATATCCAGCTCTTATAACCAGGAAGAATATTCTAACCATTCAGCCATGGGCACAGTAGATCAGCAAAAATCTTTTCAGCTGCCCTTCAAATTTTATTATATACATATACCTACACTTATATATTCACAATGTGAACAGACAGAAAAAATACTGACCTTTTCAAGTTCTCTTTTACATTTTCTTTTTTATATGACAAGAAGTCGACAATAAAGAACTCTTCACTTGATTTTTATATTTTGAAGTAGCCATATATATCTCAAATGATCATTGGATATATATTTCAGAACGAATTAACTTTTTTTTCTTTTCCCTTGAAACCGATAATACAGTATTAGCTTCTATTTTGGTGGGGAGTGTTTTTGGCTGATAGACAGTTCTAGGAGATTCTCACTATTTATTTGTAGAACTGTGTCTACATTTTGAATGTCTGTTCATTGCCACACAATGGCCAGAAGCTTCAAATTTTATCTTTGGCTCTCAATGATTGCAATTTTTCTTTTGTTTACTGAGTAGCATTTTTACTGTCAAATTAGTGATTACTTTATTCAATCACAGTTACTGAATTCAATTCTTAATTCTAGCTTCAGAATTGTTCTTGGAACAGATCTTATTTCATTAATGAGATGGCTATAAATTTAGAAAACCAGTTTATGACTGCTCAAGTTATATATAT